CTCATGTTGCGTAAACGGCGTTGAAACAGTGTTCTCCAATTCATGAATACACTATCTTCTAGCCTTTCACTATAAACTGACATATTTGTGGTCGGCTTTAGTCCCTGAATATGTTGTTGTGTACTAAAAGGTCCCTATGATTCTCATAGACAGAAGGGCTCATCAATGTGGACTGATTGTATCTATTATAAGGGATTATGTACCCTTCACTGGTAATTACTTCCTACCAGTACATATATAACTGCTAATGTTGTGAGTGCGGTAGTAGCTTGTCTACTTTAGAGTAATACTAATGAATAAGGCAAACTGAGGAGCATATAGAATGACCCTCACGTTTCCAGTTAACAGTATCTGCTGAAAAACCAACCTGTTCACTCAAAAAAGGTGCACATTGAACGCTCGACCGAATAATTTGCTCTCCGAGAACTATATTGAAGGGGTTTGACTTGACACCCGCGTCCTCTAATCAATACACCGATATCCTCACTTACTTTTAACAGCGAACTTTTAGTCGTTGATCGAAAAGCTACTACGATTTGCAAGTAATATTCTAACTAAATAGGTGTCCCCAGTTTTCGAACTTAATGTAACATTTCAGCATGAAATGAGAAAAGTTATTTCCGGTGCAAGCGGCTGAATTCATTCGGGCTACAGATAATATTTTCGGCACAGAATGGTTGGGGACTGTGATGGGACTACCAGTTTACCAGATCCCCGGTGGTATGTGTGATTGATTTCGACATACAATGTACTTAATCGCTGAATTAAACGATTGGCAAGATACTCATCGGAGTCAGCTCCATTGCAATGTGAAAGACTTTGAGAGGTAAATCCGAGTAAATGGCGGAGCACGTAATAAATATATCTGGCACTACTGAGAGTCAGTGGCAAGTGTGAAGAAAAAATCATTTTCGCAGCAGCCCGTCAAGTGACGGACTGCTGCTAAGCTGATCGGCCCTAGGGAGCCAGTGGCGAACCTTTCGAGGTAGGCAGGTCACACGACCGCCAACAACTTGAACTGGATCATCTCACAAGTTTTAGCGGTCCTCGGTTATTTAAAATTTTATCATATACTTAAATATCATTTCACCGAAATAATCAAGTAATTCCTTCCCTTATTCACAACCTGTTCTCAACGTTCGGGTAGTTTTACAGTCCTGCGTTTGAAGAAGACCGTAGATTATGATACAAAGAAGACATCCATCCATTTTTTAAGGATACTTCGGTCAAACTGTTTTCGAATGACTGTGAGGTTCGGAGAGTGCAGCGAATGCGAAACAAACACCCAGTCGAGCTCTTCAACGACATTTTGGTGAACTCCACAACGTGAGGCCTGGCGTGGTCATGCCAAAAATGACACCGTTTTGACGATTCCGGTGTATTTGTTGAATTGCTTTACCAAGACAGCGAATCTTTTGACCACAAAGCTCTGCATTAATGGTCAGTTTCCTTTCACGCACTCAATAACTCCACATCTCACTAGACACAAAGCATCTTCTTATGAGGATGAAGAAAAGGTTTGATTCGATGTGCTGTTTGCTTTTTGGAGCTTAGCGATTCTTTCTTCTTTCATGTAAAAAGCACCACTAATAATCAGCTTCAAGAATGGTTTACATTGACAGGCAAGGCGATTTCGAGCCAATAATCCGACAGAAAGATTTTCACACTGAAGCATGTTTTCCTCACTCAAAGCGTACGGAAACCAAGAATCAAACTGTTGGACTGTTCCATCGATGTCGAGCTATCGTGGATATGCATAGATTAAAGCACTGAGATCATCTTCATCGAAGCCGTTCAGCGCACGAAACTCCCGTCGTACTGAAATCGCCTTATCTGAAACGGGCAACCCCTTTTTGAGCTGTTTTTCCGGCAATGGAACCTTCCCCATAGGCAGAACAGGTGTGTTTGACGGCCTGCCACGATTCAACTCCTCTACTAAACTTGACTGAAACTTCGGAAATGTTCATTTTCGTCAACCTGGCACTCCAATTTACTGGAGCTTTAAATAATCCAAAGTTAATTCAAGTAAACGAATCATGAAATAGTCTGCATGCACTTGGCTAGGGGAACAAAATGACATACAACAGGAAGACATCGAACAAATTTTAACATATCGAATGATTAAAAAGTGCAAGAGCCCAGTAGAACAATCCAGTAGCAGGGACTGATGAAGCAAGAAAGTGGTATAGGGGTGAGGGGGTGAAAACAGGTCAAAAGGAGACAACTGACAACTAATAGGGCTTCTGAATTAAATCACTGGAAGACTAGCAAGGACTAGGTAGCCAGGAGAGAGAGACTTACACAAAGGACGTAAGACATGGACTGGTACCAGGCGACTTCAATCACCTCCACGTAAAATTGGAAATGGGCTACCTTAAGCCAAGATGTGGCGGCAACTAAGCGCATTCGCGACATTTCTCCGTAACTGAAAGTACAAGCAAAATGTAAAGCATAAAGTGGTATCCAGCAGGACGATTTAAAAACAAACAAGAAACGCTCAGTAAGAAACAATAAAAGAAAATTTAGAAAATCATTTACATACGAAGACGGCCTCTGTTATAATTTAACTTGGACATAACAGAAATGTCCAGCTGAAGCAGTAAGCGAGGATATCCACATAAGGACATGAAGCCGGCAGCTGGAGTCAAGCACTAAAAACAGCACTTCAAACAAATCAATCTTACTTGGCTATATTTGATGGTGCAGTGGAACTTACGTCGGATAGGTTCTAGGGTGAACCAAAATTCCCAACTGCAGTTTCGATTAGGAAGCACTACCTAGGCGGGGTTGTATCATTTTATCTTGCAGTATAATGCCACGATATTTCAGAAATAGTAGGATGTTGGCTTCTGAATACGCGCCCCTCATCCGTAAGCCAAAATCAGATTAGGTAAAAATTACTACTGAAGTGGCATGCACCTTTTCTATTGACTTTTGCTGTTCTTGTAAATTCAAATATACTTTTGAGTAAACGCAAACAAAAACATTCTTCCTCGTACTCATTTAGAAGCACATCAGGTCTTCTTAAAATTTTGTACTAAGGTTTTCAAATTCTCAAAGACCGTTGAGGTCGATCTGCCGTTGCATATACGTTTAGGGTATTCCGTGAAAGAATAATCATATACGCCATTAAGATATCATATAAGGTTCAGAATATTTTACAATAGATGTTTGCTATGTTGTATATTCCATGAGTAGCAGTAATAAATGGACAGATAAGCTGCAATGTGCATTCTTCGAAATCTCATAATTCGATTTTTTTTAACCGAAAAATGCTTCTACTCTGAGTATAAACTTTGAAGAAACGTGTGCGGTTTCGCAAGCTAAATTAGCACGCCTAAACAAATTCATTTTTATTTTCTACTTTCTTCTCCCATTCACCTCTACATTTGCCTACCAGTTGTCATCTTTCCACATGCATAATGGAGGTAGGGGCTGCGTATATGGTCCCTCGAGGGGACATGTGAACAGGAACCACCAGTAATATGGGTGACCTTGCACTAAAAGAAAAGTAGGGTTGGGGTTAATGCAAAGACACTAGAATAGTTATTCCTTCTGCGACTTACTGTGAGGCCGCCTATACTACATGGGGAGGCGCCTATATTCCCACGGCGTGTGCGGAGGCTATATCAGCCATTCCAACTGAACATTGTTTCCGCCTCTTGCAACAGTCTGATGAAAGCCACTTTTAAACAATAGCAAATTAGGTATGTGGAAATAAAATGAGCGCAACTAAAAGCAGGAAGCTAACACGCTTCAGCACACCTCATGTTTCCACCGCAGGTGAGGTCACCTTCGTGAACGATGATACGATGCAACAAGCGGATTATGACTTGTGCAACTTGTTTGTTTTGGATTTGCAGGCCGACAAGCCAGTTCGTCATGAGTTTGACTGCCGCGATCTGAGGAATGAAAGGAGAACAAAAATTACTTATTGGATCAGAGAAAACCTACAGAAAAGATTATATAAGACGCGCGAAACAGTTACTAAGATCCAGATACAAGAGTATTAAGGTTGGCCTCAGATGAGCTATTACACAGCGTCAAAGGATGATGACGAAATTTGGAAAAAATGAAAAATCTTTCTGACACCAACCACCACAGTGCTGATACCTGGCTAATAAATACAACGAAACTCAATAGACAATCGAGGTACACACTGAGTTAACGGCAGGTTATTCTAAAGCTCTGCGGAGCAAACAGGTTTTGGACGACCAGATTATAGTAATACGATCTGGTATGGAGTTTCAGAAATGAGAATTGTGGTGGCTGGATGACGTGCAACGGGCAGATACAATTTAATAGAGGCCTAAAATTTCGCCAGCCGTTGTCTTCGCCAAATGATTTTAGCTTAATGCGTCAAACACCTGCACGAAAAAATTGTAACTGCAGACTAGAGCAACAATTACGACGCCAGCGCAAAAAATAATTTTTTCCAAAAGCATATAAACATAGGGAGCATTAAATAAAATGTAATTGATTGATTAAACTCCAGCAATTAGAGGTAAAAGGCGTTCGGGTTAGATAGAGGGGTGCTAAAGCCAGGATTAGACATAAAATTTCAAATGTCCACCTATGTTTAACCTTAAATGGGCCTCGAAAAAGAACGTCCTCCAGCGGAAATTTCCCTATTTCTTTTTTTTACAGATTGTCAGTTGAGAAATCGAGTACCGAGGGGCGACCAAACTGACAAGGAAAGTGACCTGGTCAGGGAAAACCAGTTGTCCGCAAATATACTGACAAGACAGTTGATACGTACCTTAGCTCGAGTAAGAACAGTCAAATTCCCATCCTTGGTCCAATCGGAGGGTTTGCCCGCATCAGGTGGGGTGATCGAGGCTCTGGACCTTCTGGTAGGCTTCGCGAAGGTATCCTTGGTCAGCAGTTGGCTGATGAGTTGGGAGGTCATTAAGGTCTTCAACTGGCGGTTGTAGACACCCGGGAAGAGTAAGCCAATGTGACTCAGGGAAGTGAGAGAGGTGACGTAATGTGGGCTTGTCATATCACAGGCCAGGCAGGTCTAAAAGACAGCAAATAGGAATGCAAACAATGCTGAAGGGAGACGCACAAAATGGGACACTCGAGGGAATCCTTGTACAGTAAACTACCGGCTTACCTCAACAACGAAGATGCTAAGTAGAAATCCAGCATTATTTTTAACTAATGAAGAAGGCAGCAAGGGATATAAAAAACAAGTCCTTGCGCCCGGAGAAGAAGCAAAAGTGGATGGTTATAAGTCAGATTATTTAGCGAGCTTACGCGCGAGTCGACTAGCAGCATTGCATCTTGAAAGTTTTGCACTCTGATTATTATAGAAAAATGGAATTCGTATCACGGCTCTGTTGAAGCGGATGAGAGATAGGATGACTTGATATGTAGTTGGTAGGGAAAAAACCTAAAGGTTTGCGTATGTTCACGTATAAATTTAACACTTCGGTGGATTTCAGAACAGAACCGAGATAGTGTAAGAAGAGATGACAAGACAAGTGAAATGAAAATCTTTCTTGTTGGTTGCATTTTTTACGGCGCTAACGTAACTAAATGTATGGTTCCGGTGGAAATAAGAAGGCCTTGGGGGAATATCAAGCCTCTCAGACATAGCTTAAGGATCCTGCGTTTTGCACGACAGAAGATAAAATATACAGTCCTTGTGGCAACTCAATGAACAATGGGCACGAAGTCGCGACACGGTGTGAAGCATCTCGTATTATCACTGTAACCAAACACACCATCAGCCCAGTGTGTATGTTGTATGCTTAGTGGCTGGGAGTCAGACGGCGACGGCTCCTTCTAATGCCCCGGATGTGTAAATCCTGGTGTGTATAAAGGGGGTCAGATCCTGCTGTGGCGCGAGCAGACGGGTTCGCAAGCTCTGTCTGCCACTGCGCTCGGTCCCAGATCGGGTCCTCTTGACTCTGTCTTGACATCGGGCTCGGTTGGGTGAGGGAAGAGAGTGTGCAGCAGATGCAGCGCAAGTCTACTATCACTTAAAACTAATTCAGGCCCGAGTAACCGTCCCTGCACCACTCTGTTGTGCAGCATACAGTGTGCATCGCCAAAATCCACGATCGAACTTACAGTAGTCGCCAAAGACCATGTAATTTTCATAACTTTGTATAAGTTTGATCATTACTCGAATACTAGTGTGAATGCA